GACACACGTATTTGTAAAATCTAAGTGACTCGTACAACATGGAATTCATATAAAACGGAATTATCAACAGTGTTATAGGGGGGTCGACTGTATTTAAATTGTAGACCTATACATTCCTACTATCGTCCTGTCTGTATGTGTTCTTTGTTAATTTCGAGAACGAAATTAAATAGATGAAAATCGAGACTAGATGTGGAAAGCTTACGATCAGAGGCCCCGATTAATTATACACGAACTTCGGATTGGACAGAAAGTCACATGATTTCAATTCAAAATTTTCTCCACAACGGAGTTACATAGATTATCGGCATGACTCAATTGTTAACAGAAATATGATGTAATGGGGCAAGACACTACTAAGAGACCAGTTATTGAAAGCTTAGGGACCTCGATTATGTAAACTTCCGGTTTGGATTGGAAGTCACGTGATTTTTTTTTAAATTTAAAGATGATTAAGAATTGCAGCCCATCTTTCTACTCGTTAGTGTTCTTATGCTGGGAAGCCCACTGATCCAAGGGGACATTTAAATTTATTAAAGTCCTACAAGGATTTTATAATCATACTTATGTAAAATACGTAAACATTTTCTTAAACTTTGGAAATTTTAAGCATATAATTTTTAAATTTAAACCGTTACATAAAAATATCAAAATGTAAATCCTGTAATTGATTTCTGTTTTTATCCTTGTCTACTTTGGACTTCGTTTATTAATAGGACTTATTATACTGGTGTAGTTTCCGAATAGCAAATAGAGAAGAACTTAGAAAAATCAAAATAAAATATCTTTATTTTCACCTGATATTTTGTTTTGATTTTTCTAAGTTCTCTTCTACTTGTTGTACGGAAACTAAAGCAGTGTAATAAGTCCTATTAATAAACAAAGTCCAAAGTAGACAAGAATAAAAACAGAAATCAATAAAAGTAAGGACATAGAGGCAAAAAAATAATTAATAGTTAAATCCTGTAAGATTGAATTTATGAATTATTAATCGTGTAATTAGCATTACTTCATTTTTAAGAAGAGGAGGAAAACTCCAAGGATAAATTAATCATAATTTCATACCAAGTAATTTGTAATTTTAAATGCAACGCTACATTGAATTGTCTTTTAAAGTTACTCAACAATTAGAAGAAAACACTATTCTAATGTTTTATCAGTGGTGAGACGGGAGCATAGCATATCCAGTTCAAATCTTAAGAATTACAGGTGATGTCTACCAATCAAAATTTGAAGCCAGCTGCCGCCATCTTGGTTCATCAAAACGTGATAGCATTATTATTTATTTACTTACACAAAATACAAAAAAAAGTTATACCAATTATGCGAAATAGGTTTCTCCGCGAAGTAACAACAATATAAGATTCAAAAAGATCAATAATGACAGATGTAATTGTGATGGCGTCTCTGCATTACATCCTTCACTGTACGCTGTATGATAGCCAGCGGGAGGAGCTCATCTACCATTGTCCACGGAAGAGATTCCGTTGGCCTCCTGAACCCAACACCCTCTGTGAGAATCAAGAGATCTTTGAGAGGTTCACCAAATTCGTAAACTCTAATAATCTTTTCAAGTATAACTCTTGCCTAACATCAAATCTAGCCAGTTCTCCGGACTCCATCTGAAACAACACGCATGGATCCTTCTGCTATTAGACTCTCTGTGCCTCTAGCCTTGAGGGAACATCACTCTCGTCACCAGCAATGCGGTCGATCGACTGAGGAATCTGACCACTGGTCTTCTTTACCTGCTTCTGTGTAACCACGAACATGCACATTGTAGGTGTTAACTACGGTGTCCTGCGTAGCTTCTCTTGCACTGATCTAAGGAAGCAACTGCGATCCTCTGTGTAACGCTCTAATCAGCGATTTTGTCACCCAGATCCTCTATTAACGAATCATTGTCCATTTATGTATCGTATTATTAGTGTAGTAGCTGCATTTTGTCGGGATTACCAGTGGTGATAAGCCACTGCCATGTAAATATAGCACTGTATATCACTATTATACTCGTCTAGCCGGAAAGGCAATCTGTAAATTATTTGTATCAACGACTGTTTTCTATAATAAGTGCGATGCGAGACAGAAATGTGATCCCGAACTTTACCTCCACTTTCCATCTATCCTACCCCACTTCCTCCCCTTCCCCACTCTATCCCTCACTCATCTCTCTATACCTCTCTTTTTCATACCTTTACCAGGACAGCTATCTTATATTTATTTATTTAAGTAAAGTTAAGCCCAACAAATGTGAAACATGACGACGTAATATGGACAACATAATGTACAATAATATAATATGAATTATACAATACATAGAGCTTTTTACAGAGTCGTTTAAAAGACCAAAAATCTAGATATACTGTAATAGGTTTGCTGCGTTATTGATAGAGTTGATCATTGTCAGTTTGAGAGTTCTCATACAGTTGAAATGAAATTTCTGCATATTTAATGGCAGTTAAGCCACCAAATATATGAAAGTTTAAAAATGTTATTATACGGGAGTAAAATATATTTTCCTATAAGTTTTATAGTTTTCATGTTTATAGTCGGACACACAGATTGGCGTTGCGAATACATTATTATTACATAAATTGTATTTTTATTTATACAATTGTATTCGCTGAAACTAGATCTTAATTTTATTAAAAATTTAACTTTACTTACCGAATTTAATTTAATGTAAACGCCATCTTCTAGAAGTCCCAATTCTTTTAATCCGTTTAATTCCGTTCCTAGATCATTAAGAGTCTGTCGAGAAGCATGACGAGTTTTAACAGCAACAGCAACACCCGGATGTTCTCCTTGCAGTTGAGAAAGTTCTTTTAAAATCTACAGAAGAAGCAAAAAAAGTTAAAGATAATTTACGAGATATAGAATAAAACCCTGATATAAATCATCTGGAGAGCAAAGACGTACTTGCAGTCTAGTTTCTTCACAAATCTTCTTCAACTGATTAGTAATGGGTGGATAGCTAGATATGGAGTCTAACACTTTCATTACTTCTTCTTGGCCGATTAAAAACCCACAACATATATCAAACCCAGCGTAAAATTGCACGTTAATACGACCGTCCACGAAGTTAGCAAGGCAAGTTATCAAACACTGTAAGAAAATATTAACATCAGTCGAGGTTGAATAAACACTAGAGAAGACAAGATAACTTACTCACCTTGAATATTCTAAATATTCTTGTGATCCTAATGAGTCTAAAACTTCTTGATACAATAAGGTAAGTCGTGGGACGAGTGTCATATCGTTGACAGTAGTGGAAACATATATCTATGAACATATCGGCTAATTGAAGAATTAATATTATAAAATCGAGTTTGTTCCAATGGTTGTTCCAATAGTTCAAAAATCCTAAACCGATAACCTATGAGAGAACATTTCATATCTTTTAATGTTTTATTTAATGGGAAATTTTGTATCTGATATTCTCTGTTTACCTTCAAGACCATGTCGAAGACATAAAATACAACGAAACAACAGTTAATAAATATTAATCCACTTATTCCTAAACCATATCTAACACTTTGTGGATTGGCATACGATATTATTTCCGTAATTATCAGGATAACATCAACGAATAGAACCAAATACACAAATGTCTGAAAGATATGACTTGTCACCAATTTATTAAGATGTCTGTGATATTCCTTTATATGCTTTCTTTCGGATTGCGTTTGATTTCGGGGTGTAATGCGATGTCTTAAGAGTTTAATCTATAATACAATTCAAATTATATATTAGAGAAGGAGTTTAAGTGTTAAAAATTTGAAATAAAGATAGATTTATGTTTACCAAACAGGTATATATGCCACTAATTTGCCAATGATATCTTAAATTTCTACGGATAAATGCCTAAAAAATTTAATTAATTAAAAATTAATTTATGTTCATCACATTAAAAAATTGCTTTATTACATTTTAAAGTATATTTATTTATTAGAAGTGATTTATACTGAATTAAATTTAATATATTTTGCATAATCAACAGTTACTTCTGTCTTTTAATAATTCTTAAAGAGATTTAAATTTATAAATCTGAATTTGGAAGAAGTGCAAAACTAAACACTGCTACCGATGTACAGTACTTATTTCGAAGTACGATTACTAATGGACATTTATCGTCATCGGACATTGTTAAAACATTGAACAATCATATGAACTTGTAGCCAAGAATCGGGAATTTCAAAATTCTTTGCGCGAAATGGAAGAAGGAACTGGTATAAGAGAGGCTCTGTACGATATTTTTATTTCTTTTCTAATCAAATTTTTCTGTCACAATCTCTTTTTTTTTTTTTTGGTAATTCGCAACATAATTTTTCATTGGAAAAGAAATACACGTACTGGATCATTCAACTAGAAAACATTTTAGCTTATAAAGTATATTTATATCTTATTCAAACGATGTTAGTAAAATGCTAAAGGGAGGTGGTATTTGCTTTCACGATTCCACGTAAAATTCCACGATCTAATTCAATAAGCTATTATCTGCCGTAATTGGTATCGGTGAACATCAGTGCCAGTGTGGTAATAATAATATCCTTCACGACAACTAGGATTAGATACGCCCGAAGAGGATTTGCCATACCCTGCTATACCTAGTATGATTATTTATGAATAATAAAGGTTAAACAAAAGATGTGTCACTGTAGTATTTCTATTTTTGTCAAAATTTCTTATTTGTTACGAATGATTTTATTATGTTAGCGTTAAACTATTTTTAAAACAATGTATAGTAAAATTTATTAACTCCATACCCTCCTCTATCAGCAGCATCATCAGCAGCTCCAACAAGAGCAAGAACTGTGTCTTGTCCTAATAAACCATGATTGAACTGTCTCCAATAACTCACCTGTAAAATTATATTAATTAAGAGTGGTTCAAACAATTTTTTAAATTATAAAATATCTTTATTATGTTTACTTTCTGAGCAGCTAACATTCTCAAATTGGCTTCTTTACTCATTTCTTCAAGTTCTTTAGGACTAGGCTCTACAGCGTGAGAACTATTACAATCTGGACACGTACTTTGTCTCAAAGGAATAAAGGTCATATTATCCTCGTCCTTCTGCAAATAGAATTATTATTAACTGTTATCCAACCTGCAAAAAAAAACTAACCTTTCATATTTTATATTACCTTAGTAACTCTTCCATAAGGATCTTCGATAATCGTAAACTTCTCAATAAACTTCCAGTCGGCATCAGCAACAAGCGGTGCATTTCTCTGAGCGTGTAATGAATTTTCTCTCACTTCCTTCAAATGTTGTACAGCAATAGCCATATTACCTCGTGTAATATGTGAAATATCACTCATACCTATAAAATAAAAAAAAGTTTATTTTTACTTTATTGCCATTCACCCTTATGTTAATCCTAATATCATCTTACCTAACAATTTTAACAAAGGCTCAATAGTGGTAGCGTTAAACAGTAGAGTCAATGTCACGATTCCAGCAACATGTATTAGGATCTAATTTCAAAAATTATGTATTTTTCTTAATTTGAAGGATTTCAGAAACCAACTAATAATTATAAGTTTAATAAAAAAAATGTCTCGTTTGTCATTAGATAAGGAAAAAAAAGTTTAGAGATAATGTTACTGAAGTAAAACAAATTGCAGAATAATTTATGATATAATTTATAACTTAGACGTGTCACGGATATAAATATTTACCTTATGCCCAACTAATTCTGGGCATAAGGTAAATATTGCCTTCTTGTTGTGCCACTAATAGGGCTAGAGCTAGACCAACTGCTCCTCTAAGACCTCCCCAAGTCATAACTATTACTTCTTGCCATTTTAATCCGTAACCGAGTCTAGAGAGTAGAGGACTAAACAGCACTATCATTACTAATCTAAATGAAAATATATATACACATATATTTATTGATATGTCTACAATTTAAAACTGTAAATTATCATGAAAAATGTATGTACCTGAAAAATGTAGCGCCAACATATGTCACTAAAATATGAAACCAATCTTGTTCTTCTATATGACTTGCTGCTCTTTCTGTTATAACTAGGCCCACTACTATAAAAATTACCGTGTTTGCAAAGTAAGATAGCATCTCCCAAAATCTGTAAAATTTAAGAGAAACATGATTTAGACAATTGTTAATAAATTTTATCTTGATATAAACAAATATTTTAGTGCAAGTATTATAAAAATTAGTTGAAGGCTTTACCTGTGGACAAATCCTTCAACTTCGGGACTAATGCTAGCTTTCTCAGCACTTATAACAACACCCAAAATGACAACTGCCAACAATCCAGAAACATGTAAAACAACTTCTGCAAGGTAGTATGTCAAATATGCAGCACTTAACGTTACTGTGATTTCAATAACGGCATCGTTAAATATATGCGAAAGGCAGAACACTGCTAATTTTCCGACTATAAAACCAAGCGCTGGTCCACCTAAAGCAATCTGACAAAATTTCAAGAAAATCTGCGTAGCTGTTACAGTAGTTCCTGGTACCACTAATTCTCTTAAGATGTCGTACGCTACAATTGCAGAACCATCGTTTAGTAACGATTCACCTTCGATAATAGTGGATAACGATTTCGATGTTCCTATAACAAATAAAAAAAAACTTGATAGTCTNATGAATTGCTAAATAAAAAATTTGTTATTTAAATTATTAAAAAGTAGATTCGTGTCATAACAAAAATAAAAATTCAAAATGATTAATTACCAGCATCATTTTTAATCATTGTTATCTAAAATTCCAATTTACATGACAGTTCGAATTCTCTAAACTAAAACTCAAGAATCGTGTAGAAATTATAACATTGATTTTTTATGATTGTCTCTAGCTTTAAATATAGTATATACAGTACATATAATTACTTTCGCCAGTGGCCAATGAACAAAACCACTCAATACTAAAAGTTGGTCTAGAGTTTGTGGCTGGCCAAGTGCGTTTTCTTCATATATCTAACACCTATTTAAGAATAGGAACCAGTTCATACAGATTTTGCGGGAGATGTCCTAAGTGTTGCGCTACCTTATTCCATCAATCCAATCCAATATACAATACTCTTATATATGAATTTACTATTCGAATAGTTTTATTAATTAATCAATGTAGTCTATAGATTTTAACAACTAAATAGTTAAAATCATGTTGTCTTTGCCTAAAAATTCAAATAATCGTCATTTTATTTCTGTGTTTGCAATATTTGTTATTAATAAAATCATACTTAATTATGCAAATCTAGGATTTCAATAAATCCAGAATATGTTGAGATTTTGTAAAGATCCAATTTATAGAAATTTAATGTCTTCAGGATAACTTCTGGATATTAAAGTAAAATTTTATTACTTTAAAGAAGCAAAATTATAACTTTGAAGTAATCAATTTTACATTCCATTCAAAGTTTATAAATTTAGTAAAAGTTTTAATAGATATTGTAATGAAACTGCTTAACAAAGGCCACTAACGAGAACATATAAAATAGCCATCGGATGAAGGTTCTTTTGTATGCATACACCACCAAATAATCTCCAAAGTTGTTAGAAGTTCGACTGTATTATATTGCATAATTACGTGTTGAAGTACATGGTGGCCCACGGAAAAGTAGCCCGCCTCCTATATCCAGCAGGTGCCTCGCTCTGAATTGGAAGAGGTGAATCCCCTTCCACCCATCTGCCGATCATCCGTCTGACATCATCCGTTTAGACAAACTATCCACTTGCTCATTCTTCATGTCTTTATGTCTACTATAGGCGGGCTACTTTTCCGTGAGTTACCCTATATAACAGGATAAAAGATTGAAATTTATATATCAATTTTCAGACTTCGTTTATATAAGAAATTAAGATTTCAAATGATATTTTATATTCATCATCTCAGAGAAGTTATCGAAAATTATATAAATTTTATTTATTCGATTTGCTCTACATTACATAGACTTTTAAACTGATGATTAATGTAACAAAGGAAATACTTCCTTTAAAAATAGATTTTCAGGACGTCATTAATTTGCAAATGTAAATTTAACAATATTGGCCATCAACCTCTTTCCGGACGTTGCACATGAATGCTATTATATATAACATATAACATGTATTTGTTAGATTGTGTTAGTATTTGTAAGAGATCATGATTATCGCTCTTTCGTTTTGTATCTTGTTCCCATTACAATCTCTCTGTGAAACTTACAGTGAGTAATATGTTTGAGATTTGCATAGAGATAGATGGTTTTACATACTAATCTATTACAGGAAGAGAAGTTTGCGGTCTTAATGAAGAATATTCGACTTGTAAGGAAGTATGTCCCGATACATGCGAAAACTATGGCACCAAAAGGATATGTGATTGGTGGCAATGCGAAAGCGGTTGCCAATGCAAAAAAGGGTTTGTTAGGGATTCGAATGGAGACTGTATCAAGCCAACACAATGTACAAGTAAGAATTTTATCTATATATAATCGAATTTCTTAAATTCTATATCAGTGTTTCTCAAACTAACTGATGTGTAGATCGGGAATATTTTTGACACATTATTGTATTATTAACCAGAAGGTCCGAGAATTCAATATTATAGTATATTTATATGTAGGTGCGTATATACAAATGCTGTAGTAAAGCATGATTATCAATATTATAGAGTTTTCCTCTGAAAACTTTTTACAGGCTGGCACTGTAAAAAGTTATTGATAGACACTGGTCCATCGATTATAGTTTTCAGATATAGGCTACTGTTCTATATCATGAGTTCAAATAATTCCTAAAAAGATACGATATTAACATTCAACTAGAATTGCAAGTTTTTATGTTGCATAGAGTAGAATAGGATGAAGACATTCACAAGATCAATTACACAATATTTTATTTTTAAGTTAAAAATTGGCATATTTTCTTTGTAAATAACTTTCCAATTCTTCATCTTACATTCTGCTAGATCCAACCGTGTGTAATAGACAAGGAGAAGAATATAGCGAATGTGGCAAAGCTGACTATTGTCAACTCACCTGTGAAAATATCAACGATCCCTCTATGTATTGGTGTCGCAGAAAATATTGTCAACAAGGATGCTTTTGTAAGAAAGGATTTGTCAGGGATTTTAACTGGAATTGTATCCCTAAAGAGGAATGCCCTAAAAGTAAGAAATCTCTTATAAAAGAACATGATACATTTTTTTTATTATGAAAGTTTTATTTTTTTTCGAAATTATCTAAAGTAATTTTACTGGACAGAAACTGGACCAGGATTTAACTGCAGTAAACCCAATGAATATTATCAATTATGTGGATCCGCTTGTCCACCGACATGCCAAAACTATGGCAAAACAATGAAATGTCCATTAAATTGCGTCGAAGGATGCTTTTGTCGAGAAGATCTTGTTAGAGATTCAAATTCGGAAAATCAATCCTGCATCTATCCTGCGGAATGCACGAGTAACTAATTTATATTGCGTTTTTTTTAATTGAATTAAAACTTCAAAATGATTCGAATAAAATATTTTTGTTAAACAGATCCCCCAGTGTGTATAGGTCCGGGAGAAGAATATCAATTCTGTGGAACGGATTGCCCATTAACATGCGAAAATTACAAATCTCCTCCCACGTGCACCGCAGTTTGCAAATCTGGGTGCTTCTGCAAGAAAGGACTCGTAAGAGATATGGATGGAGATTGCGTCTTACCTAAACACTGTAGCAAAAGTGAGTATGAATAAAACCATCAACAAAAAGTATATAAATATTTTAATAATTTTATTAATTTTACAGTATGTAAAGAAAGAGAAGTCCTACACAATTGCGGATGTGAAAATAAATGCACTGGTTTTTTGGAAGATTATACGCTTCACTGTCCGAATAATTGCACCAAAGCTTGCTCTTGTGAGGAAAATATGGCTCGACATCCTGTAAATGGTTTATGTATACCGAAAGAAGAATGTCCCGAAATTCACCCTTATTTCTTAAAATTATTTTAATACAATAAAGATAAATTTCGATTTATTTTTTCACTTATATTTTGATTTGATACAAACACAGAATTTTACTAAAATAAACCATAGATTTTTAGATTGTAGGAGTAAAAAAAAATGCAGCAATCGACCGTTTGGTATTCATTATTCAGTCTGAACACAATAGTAGTAACATTTATTATTTCTTAATTGAAACTCTGCATATAATTTGTAATACAGTAAACTGATCTTTGAATATATTTGATGTAAAATATACATAAATTGATGATCTAACAACTGAAATTACTGTATAATTTCATTTTAGATACTGAAAAATATTTTCCATTTTAATCTAGTTTTCAACAAAGTGCAATAATAATTCATTTTATTAGAAATTATGAACTATTTTTGCTCCTGTTTGACATCATTGTGGCTTATTCGAACGCCATTTTAAACGTATTATAAGGCATAGACTATTATAATAATATCGGATACATATATAATTTGGTTTAAACATTAATTTCTACTCCCGATTCGACTATTATACAAAGGTTTAGGCTATTTTTTCTCTTTTTTTGGGTTCACGAGGTCTCAAAATGTGGAGATTTACAAAACCCGGATGATCAAATTTGACACGATTCCAACACTTTCCCTTGTTATGTAACAAGGGAACTGTATATATATCAGCCTGGAAAGTAACATTGAAATAAAGTTGCTATTGATTGGTATTAATCAACTAATGCATGCTCGACCTACTTTTCTGTATAAATATATATTTATTAATCAACTAATGCATGCTCGACCTACTTTTCTGTATAAATATATATTCCATTAGTTTAATATTATAAAGTATAAAATGCCTAATGGTTTATAAATGTAAAGTCTGTGCGCTTTCAAAATACATATTCCGTGAGTTAAGAATTTAAAATGTCTAAATGTCAGAAAAAACAGTGTTGAAAACATTGCGTGAATATTTTTCATTGTTGATCGATTCGGTTCTTTTGCTTTATTATATTGCATTAACAACGTTTTAATTTCTTTTGATCAATCTTCATATAACATCCATATTAATTCTTTTGATATGGGAAGCCGGATATGTATGAGTCTACTGTATATAACATTTATTCTTTGCATAAGGTATATTAATAAGCTGTAATATATCTTGTATTTGTTTATGTTATTTAATTATATAGTAATACCAACACAATAATCACTCCGCACTCTTACTCGTTAGATAGAATGAGTATTTTTTTCCAGGTAGCAACAGATGGTAGGGATGGATGGTTTTTACCTCCTACAAAAGATAAACTTAGACAAACTATCCACTTGCTCATTCTTCATGTCTTTAAAAAAAATTTGACAAAGGTTTTTGTACGACTTGTCCCAGCCTGTTTGTAATTTTATCCCGGTTAGTGAAAAGGTATCAAAAATGTATGTAAATTAATTGGAAATACAAAGGAGCAACTTATGGAAGCATCTTAAGCCAATAAAGGTGGTTTGATCTTGACGTCCAGTGCCAGCGACGGCTGTACTATTTTCCGTTACTCTTTCCTACTTTCAAGTTGCACCCCTGCTGACAAATAAGAGCAAAGACTATCATGTAGAATACCACGTGCCTCGGGTCAATTAGTGGCTATTCCTTCAATAAAACTTATTTAGAGAAAAATGACATTGCACGCTTCATTAATATTATCAAACTTGTATACAGTATATTTCCAATTATCTTTTACTGGCCTCGCTTACTTTATTGAAATTAGCTCTGTTTAATCCACAACAGCCAAAATTGAGCTTGTTGTTATATTGCTTAAAAATACCTTAACTATTTATGAATAATTTCTTTCTTATTAAAATAAAAGTAAGTAGCTAATAAGCATCTAGAGTCTGCTCTACTCTGATAATCTAGGTACTCTAGTTACCATTTTTCGTTCACGCCAGCTCGCAGACATGAAATATAATACTTCGAGACTTTTTTAATTTTTCAAATAAATTATATGAGATGTTAATAATTTGGATATCTGAATTTGCATTTTATTTATTTTTGCATTCCTTATAAATTCTCAATAATTGAAAATTTCTTTAAATAATTTATTTAGACTTTGATATAATTAAGAAATTTTACAAATAAATTATGACTAAATTGCATTTTTCAACGTTTGATGAACATTTGGACAACTTCTCTTCCTAATGCAAGTGCCATCTATGGGGTGTCGAGCCAAACCTTTCTTGCAGGCGCAGGATATAGTACACCGTGGAGGACATTCGCGGACATATTGACCTTGTATTCCAGTACATTTTGATTCACAACCACATTCATCCAAAACTTCTCCCGTCGAACAAACTGTCGGATCTATAACGAAAATGTGGGAAAAAGTTATATTAGCTTTATTTATAATTCATGAATAGTCAGTTCACAAGTGACCTAGTGGAGAAAACCATTAAACACAGGTAGGTCGTGGGTTTTCTTTTCGTTTGCAATACATAAATAGGACCAGCTTCCCATAGAAAACCTTTCGGGATGCATCCCCCGGCAATCGCCGACGTGTCGGGTTGCTGTGTACAAACAAAAAATTAAATTAAAAGTTACTTACTTTCAATCTTGTTGCAAGAAGTAGGTAATACACATTCCTGTTCATCATTTCTAACTAAACCTTTTCTGCAGAAACAACCTGATTTGCAAATTGAACTACAGTTTGGTGGATTTTCATAATTATCGCATGTAAGAGGACATTGTGAGCCACATTCTTCGAAATCCTCCCCCGCTCCCAAGCAAACTGTAGGATCTAAATAAATATTTTA